AACCCGCAGCTGGGCTCGTTACCCTGGCGACACTCAGCTGGGCTCGTTATGACCTGCCAGGGCTCTCTCTCCCTGGCAGTTTCTACTCCCTAGGAGCAGAGCTCCGAGGTGCTCTGCGACAAGGTTGAATAGGGTAAGAGGTAGAGCACTATCAAGGGATTACCATTGAGCAAAACAGTCTGGCTGAGGTAGCCATTTGATACGCAAACACATCACTGTGAGCTGACTAGCTCTCTAGAAACACTTACAAGTATCATTCAGAAGATGGTAGAGATCTGGCTCGGAGATTTCCAGAGAGAGAGCATTTCAGATGGATCAGACTCTCTCTCTCTGTCCTGATGCTTGCGCCATGCTGGAAAAAATGGCTTTTCCACCTTCTTCTTTAACCAAGCCCTTATATAGCCTTTCTGACCTCAGCAGCCCAGTCCAATAGAAACCAGCAGTGTTGGCAATTAGCCAACCAATTTAAAAAGCATCACTGGTTACCTGGGCAGATGAGCAGGGGCTTTTCCCTCCCTCCACTCAAGTGACCAGAGGGACCACACCCTAGGTACCAGGCTTTTGTCATGTAGGCAGGGAGGGAAATCCCCCCCTCCCTTAAGAATACAGCCCCAGTGTCCCAAGCTGACAGGGACAGATTTCTGGAGAAAGACACAGACGGTGGCATTTCTGCCACACTGTGACAGGGAGGACACCTGGGACCCATCAGCAGAGGAAAGCTCCATGGACTCATTCCCTGCATCAGACCTTGCCCTGGAGGCAGGCAGGAAGCACAGCCCTGCTCCTTTCAGAAGAGAGAGCTGCAGCTCTAAGTCCTCTTCTCCTCCTCAGCCCATTAGAGCATGAAGCTATTCAGGTACTGTCCTAATGCACATGCCCCACACATGCTTCTCCTAGCAGGGCCCAAGATCATGGGGCTGACAGGTGAGCCAGAAACTCTGAGAGTCTGGCTCTGAACAGCACTAACTAGGGAACATTAGCCCAGCACAGGGACCTGCCTCTCCCTCACCCCCAGCACACGGGGTTTTGGAAGAAAGACCTTATTTTCTTAAGGAAACACAGAAGGAATAGCATTGTTCTTGTCATGAAGTTGGAGCTGAGCTCCAGTGACTGTGTCCCTTCCTAGAGTGGGGATCACTGCACCGTGTCAGAGCCTTCATGGACATCACTCCCTGAGGGAAAGATGGCGGGGACTCTGGTCCTGTGTTAGAATTCATAGTTTAAGGAGTGGGGAAGGGCAATACATGGGCAGTCTGCTCCAGGCTGTGAGAAGGACTTCCAGGAGACCAGGAAACAGTGGTGTGTCATGTGTCGTCATCCACCCCCCCCGCTGCCGCCGCCAACACTGCCAGTGGTGTTTGCAAGAGGTCCCCGATTGCCGCTGGCCACTGCCAATGCTGCCAGCGGCATCAGCGGGTGGTTGCTGACCTCAGTTAGTGCTTGCCATCCCCTGCACTCACCCCCCACCCCCCTGCTGACAGCACTGCAGCCGCCTGCGGGAGCTCACCGCTCACTGCCACCACGCTCCCAACACTGACAGCTCTGCTGCCTGCGGGAGCTCACCATGCCCCCCAGCCTCTGGGAGCACATGGCATTCATGGGTTTCCCTCTGTCCTGCCTCCTTCAGGGATGTTTCTGCTGGATGGTTCTGTGACTGCTCCAGCCAGGAATCAACAGATTCCTGAAGTGCTCCAGTGGGCTGCATCTTGTCTGAGGATTCCTCCTTGACCTTTACATGCACCTGGGGACTTAACCAGGTAACGACCTGACTCCTGGTGGGGAAGGGGCTCAACTTGAAAGATATGAGGCAACTCATCCTGGGGGCCTAGGGTTCCGTCTTTTCTGCTTCCTCCAGAGGCACGTCCACAAGATAGGTCTTTGGCTGCTCCAGCCAGGAATCAACAGGTTCCTGCAGTGAACCAGTGGGCTGCATTTTGTCTGAAGACACCTCCTTGACCTTCACATCCACTGTGACATGGGGGACATGCCACATATGTCACTAGAGAGCTGAGACCTGAGAGACATGGGGTAGGAGGGAACATCACCCAGACACAGACAAGGATGGCAGCATCTATGACCATGGTGAAATACTCTTACCTGAAGCTTCTCATCATCTGCCTGCCCCTGTTGAGCCCCCTCAGCCAGGGCCACTGCCTTGTTGCAGCTCTCCACACCATGTCCCCACTCCAAACTCTGCACCTCCTGGGGCAGGATGGCCGGGAACTGCTCCAGCCCCACCAGCCCCAGGGTCTACTCCTTGCTGTGGTGCTAGAGCTCCAGTCAGCGCTGGCAGAGCTTCTGCAGGTAGCCGCAAAACTCTTGGGGCCCTTTCCGCCTCCTGGTAATGAAGGTCCCTTAAGTGCTTGTGCCACATCCCTGGGGTGTGGAGGTCATCCCCTGGTGCCAGTCATGGAGGGTGTGGGGTTACAAGGGCCAGTGGTAGGACTGGAAAGGGAGCATCCAAAGCTGGTGCTGGCCTCATGTCAACATTCATTGCCTTGGCCACTGGTGGCCTCAGCCCAGCAGCATCCACCACTCCCCTCCCCTCCCCTCCCCTCCCCCACCCCGTGACCTCATTCCCTTCCCTGTTTTCTCTTTTACTTGTCCCAAAAACTCAGTAGAAGTGCCCCTTGTGGCCTCCCTTAGCAAGGGAGGCTGTTCCTTGGTGGGCATTGGCCCACATCCTCCCTTGGGTACATCAAAAAACCTGTTCACAGCTCAAGCAGCTGCACAGCAAATAAACCCGACTGCAGCCCCCAGAATAGGAGGCATTGGCCCAATCCATGGCTGAGTTAGATAAGAGGGAAACTTGCAGGGGAGGCCGCTCTAGGACAGGGGGAGGGACAGCAGCAGCAACGCCCAGCTCAGATGCTGACTGGCTGTGACAGAAGCGACCCACCAGCCCAGTCAGAGTCCGCAGTTCCGGCAGCTGGGAGCAGCACTGTCTGCCCCTGCCCAGGTACTGCGGAGGCAGCCTCAGGAGCAGGCAGGGCATAGGCAGGGCATAGGCAGGGAGCAGGTGCCCAAGGGCTGCTCCTCTCAGCTTTACGTCTGTTTTTTGCACAAAAGCGTATCGATAGCCGGAGCCTGGAAGGATCCGGCTTGCAGCAGATGCCATGAAACATCCCCTCACCTACTCCGCACCAGAGCTGCACGTCCTATGTCCCTGCAGCAGCTCCAACCACGAGCCCTGATGCCGCAGGGAGCGCGGGGCGGACGAGGCTATGGCCACAGTCATAGCCTGACCCCAAGGGGCTGGGCTGGGCTGGGCTGCACACGGGGGCCTTGGAGGAGACTGGACATAGCCCGGCGCTGGCTGGAGGATCTGTCCCGGGCCAGCCCGGGGTGTCGCAGCTCCCCTGTCCCTGCCACCGCCGCCGCTCCTTTCCCCCAGAGCGCCGGTCCCGGCCGGCGGCCTCCAGCGCGGGGAGCTCCCAGCTGGGCTGCGGGAGGAGCTGCCAACAGGACGTGATGCGGCAGCGGAGGCGGGCGGTTCCTCTCCGCCCCCTTTCTGCCTGCCTGTCCCGCGGCCCCGGGCTCCGGGCCCCTCCTCGCCCGCACACTTGCACACGCACCCCCGAGCCCGTGGCCGTGGCCGTGCCTACCTTGGGCGCCGTGCTGGCTGTTGTCCATGAGCGCGGGCCCGGCGGGGCCGGGGCCGGGGCCGGGGCCGGGGCTGTGCGCTGGTTTCTCCCACCCTCCTGGAGGAAGATGCGGCGGGGCTTTGTCCAGAGGCTCGGTGGGCTGTGAGACCTTGTGACAGTGGTCAGGGGCAGGCTGTGGGGCCGTGGGTGGGTGATGAAGGGGCCGTGGGGCCTGTGCAGGGCGCTGCAGGAGGGGCTGGGGGTGGAGGCAGTAGAGGGGACATGTCCTGTGTCAGGGCTGTGGGGCCACTTGAAGAACCATGGTGGAAGGGAACCTGGGGCACGTAAAGAGATGCAGCTCTGCCTGTGGTTGGGGCTGTTGGGAGATGCTGGAGGGCCCAGAAGAGTTGCCCAGGCTGAGTGCCATGCAGGTACCTGCAGGACCTGGGGCAGTGGGTCATGGTCCCGGGTCTCCCATCACATAGTGGGATTCATGCTGTCTCCTTTCCCACAGACAGCCCAGGAGACCAAATGCTGTCAACAGGTGCTGTGCACGAGTGGGGGGAGAGCAAGAGCCCAGGCCCCAGGCTGAGGTAAGGCCTCTCTTGGTGAAGACAACAGCTGCTGAGCTGGAGCCCGTGACACCTGTGGACCTTCCCCTTGAAGCCCTAGTGCAGTCTGAGGTGAAGATGGAGGAGCAGGACCCAGCAGGCCTTCAGGCAGGAGATGAGGGGCCAGGAAAAGTCCCTCATGTAATTCAAGGTGGGACCATTGGGGTGTCCTTGAAATGGTCAGCACCCCAGCAAGTAAAGCAGCAGCTGCAGGAGAAGCTGGTCCAACACCAGGAGATCCAGAGGCAGGAGGTGAAGCAGACCATGCAGCCCCCTTCTGAGGCCAGGCTGCCCTTGGCAACCCCACAGCTGGCACCAGGGGATGACTTCCCCACCACAGAGACCTGGCGTCAATGCTTCCGGGGCCTCCGCTACCAGAAGGCCAAGGCACCATGGGAAGTTTGCAGCTGCCTGTGGGAGCTCTGCCAGCGCTGGCTGGAGCCCCAGCACCGCAGCAAGGAGCAGATCCTGGAGCTGGTGGTGCTGGAGCAGTTCCTGGCCATTCTGCCCCAGGAGATGCAGAGCTGGGAGTGGAGATGTGGTGTGGAGACCTGCGCCCAGGCCGTGGCCCTGGCTGAGGAGTTTCAGCTGGGGAAGGTGGAGAATGAGAAGCTCCAGGTGAGAATATTCATTTTACCCTGATCATCAATGCTGCTATCCACACTTCCATGTGTCTGGGGGGTGTTCCCTCCCACCCCATCTCTCCCAGTTTCCAGCTCCCCAGTGACATACTTATCTTGTCCAAAATACCATGACCACAATGGTGGCAGGGGAAATACTCTGACCAAAATAATGCAATTAAAATGGCACTGGGTAGTGGAGGTTTGCACCCTTGTCTTCTTGTGGACAGGATTCCCTCATAGTTAGCTTCCCGCTGTCCAGCTTCCAGTGGGAGGATCTTGGCTACACGCCAACTTTATGGAAATGGCAGACTCCCCCCAAATTTGCTTCTGTGGCTGTAGGCCTAAGAGCAAGCAAAACTCAGGAGCATCTGAACCCCAAGTCTCCGGGCTTGGGGCTGCATGTAGGATGCCCGCCAAGAGATTTGGAAGCATCTGAAGCCCCAGGCAGGGGCCACATATGGTAGTAGGGCCACATATGGTTCTTGAACGACTCACAGATTTGGAATTAATTTGGCTGATTTGACTTTGGACACACAAAAATGTCCTTAAAATTTTTTTTTAAACTTACCTTGTCCCCAGGTCACAGTGAATGTGAAGGTCAAAGAGGTGTCCTCAGACAAGATGCAGCCCACTGGGGTACTGCAGAAACCTGTTGATTCCTGGCTGGAGCAGCCAAAGACCTATCCTGTGGACGTGCCTCTGGAGGAAGCAGAAAAGAGGGAGACTCCAGGGCCTCAGGGTGAGCTGCCTCATGTACTTCAAGATGAGCCCCTGCCCCACCAGGAGTCAGGTCGTTACCAGCCTGTTTAATATCAGAAAGCAATGGTTAGCCACTCCTGTAATTAGTTGGCTATTGGGTATACATCAGTTGATTTGGGGGGCAACTGAAAAGAAAAAAAGGATAGGGTTGAGGTCAGAGGTTCAAAACAAGTGCTCCAAGAGGGAGAGACTGAGCAGAGCACACTGGACAGTACCAACTGGCTCTTGAATGAGTCCAGGGAGCCAGTGGCAGGTAAAGTCCTGGATGCAGGGTCCGAGTGCCTGAATGGCTGTCCTGCATTTGGGGTGAAAGGCTCAAATGTCTGCCCCTGCCTGTGACAGGGCCACAGTATTTATAACTATGTGGCTGGCATGGAACAGAGCTCTGATCTTTGTGGGTGGAGAGCACTCGAGCTGAGTGCCCCTGATCTTTCTGACTGCATGTGTGCAGCTCCCAGCAGAAAGATGCTTTATCTTGGTTGGGCCCTGTAGTGTTACCATGGTAACAATCAATTATCTCATTGATTTTTTTCTATCAGCCAGTGTTCCAATCAGCCCTTTCTCATGCCTCCCTGAGTCCTCTCTGCCCAATAAGAGGCTGGTGCAGGTGTCAGGGAAGTGAGATTCCCCAGTGACATTTGGCTGGGTCATGTATGTTTAAGCCAGAGGCTTCTGTCCTGCTGCAGCTTTCCCCAACACCAAGGAGACATGGGACTGGTCAACAGATGAAAGCTTCTCAGGCTGGTGCCCCAGACCTGGCCCTTCCCCAGCAGAAGGTAAGGAGCAGAGGCTCTACCCTTTCCAGCAGGAGGCACAGTCCATGAATGGAAAAATCTCTCTGCCACAGCATGTTAATAGATTCAGTGCTCCACCTGGTCAGCTTTTTCTGTTCGCACAGTGCCCTTAGAAGCCCTTCACACATCCTGGAGCAGCTTGACCTTGTAATTACCCTTTGCCTCCCCTTAAAACAGTGCTTTCCAAACTTTTCCTCAGTATAGATCTGGATAAGTTACAGGGGTGGGCGGATGAGAACAGGATGGGGTTCGATACTGACAAGTGCAAGGTATTGCACCTGCGGAGGAAGAACCAGCAGCAGACCTACAGACTGGGGAACTCCCTTCTCGTCAGTGCAGAGGCAGAAAAGGATCTTGGCGTCATTATTGATTCCGAAATGAACATGGGACGTCAATGTGAGGACGTGGTCAGGAAGGCTAACAGCACCTTGTCATGCATCTACAGATGCATCACGAGCAGGTCCAAGGAAGTGATCCTCCCCCTCTATGCGACACTGGTCAGGCCGCAGTTGGAGTACTGCGTCCAGTTCTGGGCACCGCACTTCAGGAGGGATGTGGACAGTATTGAGAGTGTCCAGAGGAGGGCCACTCGCATGGTCATGGGGCAGCAGGGCAGACCCTACAAGGAGAGGCTACGGGACCTGAACCTGTTCAGCCTCCATAAGAGAAGGTTGAGAGGGGATCTGGCGGCCATCTATAAAACTGGCCAAGGGGGACCAGCAGGCTATGGGAGAGTCCCTGTTCCCCCGAGCACTACCGGAAGTAACAAGGAATAACGGCCATAAGTTGACGGAGAGTAGATTCAGGCTAGGTATCAGGAGGTACTACTTCACAATCAGGGCGGCTAGGATCTGGAACCAACTTCCAAGGGAAGTGGTGCTCACTCCTACCCCGGGGGTCTTCAAAAGGAGGCTAGATAATCACCTAGCCGGGGTCCTTTGACCCCAGCATTCTTTCCTGCCCATGGCAGGGGGTCGGACTTGATCTACTTAGGTCCCTTCCGACCCTACCAACTATGAAACTATGACCCAATTTATGACCCCATTTCCTCAGCATGGCCCCTCATTCCCACCTCTCAGCCCTCTATCCCCGTCCAGGTGCCCCTCACTCCCCACCCAAGCCCCCTCGCCCTGCCAGGGCCCCTCACTCCCAAATTGCAGCCCCCTGCCCCCAAGGTGCCCCAGGGCCAGGGCCTGCACCCCCCACCCAACATCACCCAGGCCCTAGGTACTGTCCCTGGGAGGCAGCTGCTGCTGCAGCTGGAACTGAGCCAGCCCCCACCCACCTCTGGGTCACACAACCAGAGCGGATGATGATCTGCTCAGGTCCCTTCCGACCCTACCAACTATGAAACTATGACCCAATTTATGACCCCATTTCCTCAGCATGGCCCCTCATTCCCACCTCTCAGCCCTCTATCCCCGTCCAGGTGCCCCTCACTCCCCACCCAAGCCCCCTCGCCCTGCCAGGGCCCCTCACTCCCAAATTGCAGCCCCCTGCCCCCAAGGTGCCCCAGGGCCAGGGCCTGCACCCCCCACCCAACATCACCCAGGCCCTAGGTACTGTCCCTGGGAGGCAGCTGCTGCTGCAGCTGGAACTGAGCCAGCCCCCACCCACCTCTGGGTCACACAACCAGAGCGGAGCCTGTTGGGGTAGGGGAGGAGGGAAGAATGTAGGCTGCCCATGCAGCCGTGGGGGTCCTCGTCCTGCTGCCCTCCCCCCAGGGGCTCTGCAGC